CTTTAATCTTGTTTTGTATACAAAAACTTTGCAAGTGCAACAACGTTTACAGAAGATGTCAGTGGAGATGAAGTATACTATACGTTAACTGAATTAACTATTGCAAATTTGTCACCGAGAATAGGTCAACAGGCTCCCGTTCGATTGAATTCGAATATAGGACAATCGTGCAGAGCACCGCGCGATCAATATGCAAAATGTTAGAAAACCATTTTGACTGACCCAATTTTATTTCGATTTTCACCTCGTACCGTAATTAATACAACGTGATTACTTTGTGCCTTGGCGTGTTAATGTATACAAAAATATGCGCGTATCCATAATGTCGTACGCCATTAATGTGACTTTCCCCACTCGATACGGATTTGCGTGTTGCTTAGCGTGCCGTTATCGCGAATCTTGATTATCCTCGAAGAAAAGCATGTGATTAATTCGGTTAACGGTCGTTGTTCGCCACAATTATCTCTACAAAAGTTGCCGCTTATCTCGACGATCCGGTTCTTCTAATCAAAATCTAATTGGCCTCGTCACGAATTTGAATGGGCGATAAATTTCCATTTTAACAAAATTCGCCTGATGTCTTGATAAAGTAAAAAAAAATTACGTAAAATTGAAATGTACGTTTCTTTAAAAGTAAAAGTGAGTAATAAAATTTCAAAACACAAACGTGAAATTCGTGTTACAGTTACTCCAAGCAATTCTAAAGGCAAAGAAAAGCCTATCTGTTTACATTACTTTTACAATAATATCCAGAGTACGTTGTATCGCGTAATGTAGGATTTCGCTTCCAGGTTAAATTCTTCAATAAATCAATTTTCTCTTAATAAAAATGATCGACGCAATAACGGAGTTTTCCGAGTTATCAGTTCTCTTTGCAAGAGCAAATATAGATAATTGCAAGAATAAAGCACGTAAAAACAAAGCAGCGTTTTATTTCTCATTTACTTTCGAGTGGACTTCGGCTGAATCAATTTAAATTGAATTTCAATGTATAACATATCGAGAATTAATAAGTTTTATCAAGAAAGATATCCGGTCACAGGTGGTAGTTGTTAAGAAAAAACCAACTCCAAGATGAAATCTACTCATAAAATGAGTTGTAATGTATGTGAAAGAGTACACGGAGAGAATTTTCTCTTAAAGTTAATCCTGAAAATCGTGGGACAACGTGGCATTTTGAAGAACTACGAGATTTTGGAAATTTTACCGTACATTTTACTAGTAAAATGAAGAGAAAAATCCTCTGTTATGAAATAGGTTTCTAATATGAGATAGCAGGTTTTCAACGCCCAAATTCCCAAATTCAATCACAAAGCGTTTCTTTTTTTGCAACGATTATACAATCTAACAATGAATTTCCCGCTGAACAGATTTCGCTCCAAGGGGAATAAACTCATAGTGAAATCAACTGATAATGCCTGTTAATCGAGGGGTAAACCACTGAGGGCATTGTGGTGTACAGATTTGCGGCATTACTGGGCATTACTAGGCATTTTTGAGGCGTTAGTTTGGACATTAGGCTTTGCTGGGACATTATAAAGATAAAATAAGGAAAGGTAAGGGAACAAGATAAAGTAAGATAAAAGAAGATAAATAAGATAATAAGATAAAGTAATGCCCACTGGGCATTAGTGGGCATTGGTGTACGCGATTTTGGTCAGCGGTTTACCCCTCGAGAATTAAATTTGAAAGGAAAATTCTCTCCGTGTACGTTCCACATACTCTGGGAAAAAAAACGACAGTTAGCAACCCATTTTGAGGCCCACAATTAGTAATCGAATTATTTGGATTGTTCGTAACTCTATGGGAAAAATTTTGACCATTTTTTTGTAGTTAAGCAACTTAACACTTCGGTTAATGTCTCTTGTGAAAATTATCTTTGCGTTACTGAATATCGACAGAACTAATTGAGAGAATCGATTAGTATTACTTAAAAATCTTGGATATAGACAGAACAGCTAATTGCCATTTTTAGTCACGCGGGGTAAAATTCGTAAAAAATTAGAGGTGTTACGCAACAATCCAAATATTTCGATCGCTAATTGTGGGCCGCAAAATGGGTTGCTGTCTTGTTTTTTTTTCCCAGAGTAACAGTAACGACTCCACTCGGTTACGCGTAGTAGCCTCAAGATCTAAAATACTGTCGTTCCCCGGCTCCGACTTATTTGCTATAACGATCGCGGAAATCGCTAACGCACGAGGCGCCCTAGCGTGATTCTAAATTCGCGGCAGCAATCAGAGAAATCACCGGGTACCGGCATGTGAAGGCTTACTTTTGCGGTGACTCTGTCTCGCAATTGCGTGACGCGTACGCCGCACGCGACTCTCCGTCCGCGACGACGAGGTCGCCGATCGTCGCCCCGGAGTATGCTGGACCACGGCGAGGGTGGCTGGGGTGGCGACGGCGGCGGCAGGCCGTAGTGCAGAGCGGCTTTCTGCTTCAGCACGATCATGCCTCGTGCGTGAGAATCGACAAGATCGGCAGGGCGCTTATCCCCCACGCCGGATAAAATTCGTCAGACAGACCGCGATAACGAATCAGACGCACCTTAGCGCGATCGATTGAACCGTCAAACCTGAGCGATTTCGCGCTGATAATCGGATTTTCGCAATCAAGTACATCGTACACAAATGTGGTCCGAATATGTGTCGCTTTAATTTGCAATTATTATCCCGCTCTATTATCTTTCGACGTATTCGCGTGAAGAATGCGAGGACGCCCGCAACATCGCGAGACTTGCGTCCGACTTTGTAACCAGAATAACGCCCGTCGATAATGCTCGAAACAAAGAAATGAGATAAAGGAGAAGTGCGCGGCACCACAGGCAAATTAAGTAAATCCAATCCCCTTTCAATTCTCCCTCGCAATCAATTTTCTGCCCAACGAATTAATTCAACCCCTTCAATTATTTCTCCCGGCCGACTGTATTAATTACAATGCGATATTCGGCCGAATTCCCGCCTTACGTATGTCGCTTGTGACCCAACCGCGGGCTTCAGCCAGATCACGTTATCGCGACAGTGGTTCACGATTCTTTCAGTCTTGCAGTGGGAACACGATAAGGTAACAGCACACCGAACATATATCGGCTACGCGAGCTGCCGTCGTACCGAGTGACGGCGGACTGACTGAATCCGTCGGCATTGCGCCGAGGAGGGCTGCGAGAAAAAGAGAGAGAGAGAAAGAGAGCGTCCCCGTCTCGCTCGCTGACGCGCGCTTCGGGTCGAGTCGGGTCAGCAGCACCTCCGCGACGTGATCGTCACCCCCTTGGAGCGCAGGACGCGAGCGAAAGGTCGCGCCGAAGGTGGCTGCGTCACGAAGGACGAGACGATTTTCAGGAGCGCGCGGGGCGGAGAGCGTTGTGGAAAAAAAAAACGAATGGGAGCCCAGAGTGCCGGGGGTCGGGCGAGTCTTCGCGTTCAATTGTCTCGAGGGTCCATCGACGTTAACGGCGCGGCTGAATCTTTGCCAAATAAGTTTATTAGCGAATCCGGTCACTGCTCCGCGAGGAACTGCACGATGATCGTGCGTGAAATTGTTCGACTCTCTTTGCGGCCCGATAAGAAAGGATGTATTTTTTTAAAAGGACAAGCATTTGTTGTACGTGCAAATATACTTATAAGTGACTGTTGATTGTGCAAAACCGTACTGAAAAAATTGAAAACGCGAAAAAAAATTAACCGCCGTGTCCTATGGTTTTGAAAATCACGCGAGCGTTCAATTACGCGCCTTAAAGTCGCAAAAAATTGAAAATAGCAACGGAAAATTAAAGCAACGCTTATACCAGCTTCACAGCGAAACCACCGGTGAGGTGGTCGATTATAAAAATATAACACCTAGTGTTAATATCGTCATATTTTCACGCATAGTAGAAAAATACACGAGGGGTAAATGAGGGCATTGTGGCGTACAGATTTGCGGCGTTACTGGACATCAGTTTGGCCATTATAAGGATAAAATAAGATAAAGTAATGGCCCACTGGGCATTAGCAGGTATTGGTGTGCATGATTTCGGTCAGCGAGTTAAATACATGTATCCGAGTATCAGCTCGTCGAAGCTGAAGCTTCCGAGCATTCGACATCCGTGTGAAAAAATTATTTTACCTTGAAAAAAAATTTTGATTTAAAAATGCGAAACTAATCTTTCAGATTCGGTTCTGCTTCTGTAATAAATTGCTTTGAGAGGCATAAAATCTCTTGTTCATTACGTCCAGTATTGAACGGTGAAAAACCGTTAATCGAAAAATACGTAATCAACTGTGAAGCTCCACGTTTTGCGCACGCAAATTATTGCGGCGCATTAGACGATTGAGATCTAAACGTTACTGCCGTTCCATCATATTATTGTTAAAATTGTATTCATACATCGCGTAAAAAAAATCGAAAGTCTTCGTAACTTAATTCGCGATATTATTATTGCAATTGGAATATTAAACCTTTGCTTTGAGAAACAAGGTATAGTGCCTTGTTCATTACACCCAGTATTGAACGGTGAAAAACCGCCAATCAAAAAATATGTAATCAACTGTGAAGCTCCACGTTACGCGCGCGTAAATTATTGCGGCACATTAGACGATTGAGATCTAAACGTTACTGCCGTTCCATCGTATTATTATTAAAATTGTATTCATACATCGCGTAAAAAAAAATCGAAAATCTCCGTAACTTAATTCGCGACATTATTATTGCAACAAGAGAATGTTAAACCTTTGCAATTGCGCGATATAATTCAACGACCGATAACTCCGATAACGAGCGAGCCACTCGATAGACCGTCGGCTGCAATGACTGACCAAAAAAACACACAGTTTCACACTTGGCCGTCGTCATTGCGCGATTCCGCTGTTCCGGGAAAGGGACTCGTCAAATTGTCGACCGTATCTGCTGTTATCAGCGCGAACGGAAGGGCTTAATCATTCGTCAGCCGTTCGCGCGGCGCGACAGAGGGAAAGAAAAGGGAAGGTTCGCGCGTCCTTCCATCTTCATCCTGGGCTGCCGGGAAACTCCTCGGTATCGAGAAAGTGCCACCGCGAGCGTCGATAGATACTCGGCGATCGCTGACAACTGAATGCCAAAAGCCGCCTTCGCGCGACCGCGTGAGAGAACCCTTCTTCCACCGATGACGAGCGTGCGAACGGAAAGCGAGAGCGCGCGAGCGGGGAAACAAAAAGCCGTGTAACAACACAATTACCACGGGACGCGAGCGATCCGCGAGGAATCGCGCGCCGCGGAGAGGCCTCCGCGTATCGAGGACGAACGGCGGAGAGCCGTGAAATTCCGAGCGAGCGAGAGAGAAGAGAGAGAGAGAGAGAGAGAGAGAAAGAGAGCGGGTAGTTTTACCGCCTGCCCATCCACCTACGTTTGTTTACCCTACCGAGTCCCTTTGTTTCGGCGAGCCCGCGATTCGCGGCCGCGGGTTCGCGTCTCGCGCGCGTAGACGCTCAATCGGAGCTCCCTGAATTCACATCTCGACTCCCTTTTCCGCGCGGCTGTCGGTGCGCCGCCAAATAAGGCAGAGGCCGCCGCGCCGGCCGAGCTCCGGCGAGCCGAGCGGAGCCGAGCCGAGCTGTGAGGCCAGGCGAAGCCGCGCGGCGGACCCGAGTCGCTCGCGGTACTCCGGGGCGGCAATGTATGTACTGTAACTAGTGAACGCTCGCTGGCGGCCCTCGGACAAATGACGCGCCGACGGCGCGGCGCGGCGGACGCGCGACGCGCGACGCGCCGGCGGCCGCGCGCGCGACGACGGGAAGGTAAACGCCACGCGAGGAAAAACTCACCGAGCTCTGCGGGGAACTGGACACGCTCGGGGAACGCTGCACTGTGACCAACGCCATGGTGATGCGGCACCGCCGTCGCACCGTCCCGGCCTCGCGGCGCGGCAGGGACCCTCGCTCAACACCGCTGTCGCGCGCGCACGTACGATCGCGCCGTCAGGAGCGAGGAAAACCCGTCATTTTTCGCGCACCTTTGACGGTATCGCGCTCGCGGCGGCCATGTTCGATACAGTCGACGGCAGCGCACCGCGCACGCTCGCGCCGTGCGCTCTCTCTCTCTCTCTCTCTCTCTCTCTCTTCTCTCTCTCTCTCTCTCTCTCTCTCTCTCTCTCTCTCTGTCGTCACGCCCGCCCTCCGCCCCGCACCGGACCGGCGGACCCAAAAGACGCGCGCGACTCCGCTCTTATCGCGCGCGCTGCTCGACGTGACGTCACGTTTCCGAGTTTCGCGGCGCCACGCAACGCGATCTCGCGGTACGCGCTGGTACTCTCTCTCGAATTTTCCTTCTCTCATGATAAATACACGTTGCTAGAGGGTGCGTTCCCATTTCTTCCGAGTCCTATTGCCCCAGTAGGGGCTGTTACTCCTGACAACTTGGAAGATTCGAAGCTTCGAAGGAATGTATAATATTTATTAATGATCCCTTGATAAAAGATTGTTCACTCACCGATACCTTGCGGCGAAGTTGTATCTCTACGTTGATTCCGCAATAGCGCCCGACGCCTCCTCCTCCGCTCAGACGACCTCCTCTCAGGTGTCGTTGTCTCAGCTGTCCTGCGACACACTCGCGAATTTACACTTCCGTTCGCAAAGTCACTTGTCGCTGTCACTGTATCCAAATGTCACTTCACTCGCGAATTTACACTTCCGTTTGCAAAGTCACTTGTCACCGTCACTGTATCCAACTGCCACTTCTTCGGTTTTCACCGTGTCTGATTGTCACCGAGTCCGATCACCGCTACGAAATGTTCGATTACATCGAGCAACAATGGCAAATCGTGGGGATTCAGCGATCGCACGATGATCAATCGCAGCGAGCGACCGCGGTTTCTTCCCGCACTCGTCGCGAACGCGTATCAAGAAAGAATAACACGAAATGCAAAGCGACGCGGGCATAACCGACCAGTTCGACTGTCGCCGCGCGAATGATCCTGCGTACGGCGCCGTAAACGCCGTAAAAACGGGTATCGAAAAAATTGTTTTCGACCGAGGTGCTCACGGCGCTACGTCATTTCTTGGAATCCGCGCTCGGTTTTTACGGTGTTTACGGCGCCGTACGCAGGATCATTCGCGCGGCGACAGTCGAATTGGTCGGTTGTGCCCGCGCCGCTTCGCATATCGTATTATTCTTTAACTTGTTACGCGTTCGCGACAAGTGCGGGAAGAAACCGCGATCGCTCTCTGTGAATAATCAATGATCGATATTATCGTGCGATCGTTGAATTCCCGCGATTTGTGTCAGTGATTTGTGCGGGTATCGGTGCGACGATGTAATCGAACAGTTCGTAGTGCGCAATCGAACTTAAGCCCAATGTCCACAATACTAGAACTTGGTCCAAGTTCTAGTTTCGAGAAATCTGTAGCCATGCAATCAACGTGCAGCTATTCCATAAAAGCGACGAAACTTCGAAAATTCAAAACTTCGAAACTTCGAATCTTCGAAAAATTCGAAAACTTCAATTCTCGAATAATTTCTACGAAGCTTCGAAGCTTCGAAATTGAAAATCTTCGAAGAAAAATTTCAGCTCTAAGTGAGAGTGACAAGTGACTTTACAAACGGAAGTGTAAATTCGCGAGTGAAGTGGCATTTGGATACAGTGACAGTGACAACCCAGAAAACATTTTGCGCGCAAACATCTGGCATTACGACGACGCACTTGAACAGAATTTTGCTTGCGTTGTTGAGCCATTTTTGTACGTGAGTTGTTAGATATTTGCGCGCAAAATTGTACGTTAATATCATAAGCTATAAATCACTAGCGTGTAAAAGCACAGACCGAACATATCTTACGGACAAAACTCAGGCAAATCTCATACAAATTTGCATGCATAAGACAAGCAAAATTTGCGCGCAAGAATTGTTATCTGGGAAGTGACTTTATAAACGAAAGTGTAAATTCGCGATTGTGTCGAAGGCCAGCTGAGACAACGACACCTGAAAGGAGAACACCAGGAGAAGGAGACGTCGGGCGCCATTGCAGAATCAACGTATACAGGGACCAGGGTGAATCGGAGCAGTTGTTACAACTTTTTACCATAGGAGATGAATTACCGACCGCAACTGTAACCAAAAATGGGAAAAATCTCGTTATACATGTCTCAATAATGTAATATCTAATTGTATCTCGAGAAATATAAGTAGTAGATATTACATGACAGACGCATATAACGAGATTTTTCCATTTTTTCTAGGTTTGGCTACAGTTGCGGTCGGTAATTCATCTCCTATGGTAAAAAGTTGTAGCAACTGCTCTGATTCATGCCCATTCTACACCTAGGGATGATCCTACTTGTGGCTCATCCGATACTCGCTTCTATACCTAAAGCTAATCCTACTTACAGCTTATCCGAGGAAGTAGTATAAAGTGTAAAAGGTACACTGTAGTTGTACTTTGGTACGATTGGAAACCAACCAAAGTGTAAACCTTTTACACTTTATACTACTCCCTCGAATAAGCTGTAAGTAGGGTTAGCTTTAGGTATAGAAGCGAGTATCGGATGAGCCACAAGTAGGATCATCCCTAGGTGTAGAATGGGCATCACCCTGTATACAAATCCGCCGCTGCGCATCGTGTCGGTGAGTGAAAAGTTTTTTTTATTAAAGTAACGGAATCTACATTTTTTGATCGTAGATTGTAGATTGACATTGTACATTTCGTAGATCCGTTACGTTAAATCTGATTGGTTATGACTAGATTTCTGCTGTTAAGCCTATCACACAATGCCTGGCAACAGGCAATAGGAATAGAGAATAGAATTTTTGACGCGTTGAATTCGTCGGAAATTTTCTTCCAACCAATCCAACGCGTCAGAAATTCTATTCCCTGTTCCTATTGCTTGTGCTTTCCTATTGTATGATAGGCTTTATGCTTTCTGCTTTCCAAGGTGTGAACCCGGCCTTAGGCTGGTATTACATTGGTCGAACGAGTTCTTTTAAGTGTGTTGATTGGCTACGGGATAGTAAAATTCTCGAGTATGTAGAAATTTTCTATTCAGCAGCCAATCGAGACGCTTGAAAACTTCGACGTACGACAAATGTGACATCATTAGCCTTTCGTGTTGACAGATCTCTGTAAACACTCTTGTAAGAGCGAACTGGAGCGTTTGCACGCCAAGGGCACGTAGTAGCCATTGGAAAGATAAAGAAGAAGAAGAAGAAGGGCACGTAGTTATTTAAATACCAAAAACACAATCCCAAAAAGTGTTTCGACGAAAAATCTGATCGCATAGTTTCGCGAGGTATGTTTCGGATGTTTTATCAACGTTTATATCACGCACTTAGATAACGAGATATATGCCAATCGCGGTGTATACAATTAATCTTTCTTCCTTGACATAAAATTTCCGACAGTGAACGTAACATCAAAATAACGAGGCGCGCGCGACGATAGAAATAAATTTCAACGTATCGATCGGTTATTATTTTGCTGTTGCAGTCGCCCAGTTGGTCGCACGTCGCACGCGTTGCCGCGCGTCGAGCGTGCGTATGTGTACCGTTTGCAAAATAATGCGCAATTCTTCTCGCAGCGAAGGCAAGGTGTGAGTAGAATTGAAAGCGAGGACTGTATTGTCGATCGCGAGCACTTTTCGCTGGTAAGCACATCGGTCCGAGCTCGCGGCGACGATGTCGAAGATATTTACGCCGACGAATCAAATAAGGCTGACGAATGTGGCCGTGGTGCGTATGAAGAAGGCTGGCAAGCGATTTGAGATCGCGTGCTACAAGAACAAAGTGATGGCCTGGAGGAACAAGCTGTGAGTTCTCTAGCGCCTGTCCGTTTAACCTCATTCACATTAATGACACTATTCCTGTCAGGAAATGCGAAACCCCAGTGTCGACAGTGCCAGAGGACAAAAGTCCAGTCGACACGTCGAAGACGCGAGAGCAAAAAAAGAATTTATTCTGTAAGAATGTTCTGTAACACTGTATCTCTATGAGCTATGTAGCGCTGTGGAGTAACGCCCGGTCTACGACAAGTTGTTAGTCGTCGATCAGAAGTCTGAATTATATGTCGATTCGTTTTCCTTCTAGGTGAAAGAAAACGGGCCGACATAAAATTCTGACTACTAACGACTAATAACTCGTTGCAGACTAAAGAGCCAGAGAGTTACAGAGCAAGGCGTAAACTGCTGACGAAAATCATGCACACTAATGCTTACTAATGCCCAGTGGGCATTTGTCTTATTTTATTTTTATGATGCTCCAGCAAGGCCTGATGCCCAGAAAATGCCTAGTAATGTGCCAAATCTGTATACCACAATGCCCTCAGCAGTTTACCCTCGTTACAGAGTTTACAAAGTTTACGGAGGAAAAATATTACCCGGGTACAGAGCTAAATCAATTGTATCCACAAGATTTTGATATTTACCTTGTTTCCTTCTCGCATCTTTTACCTTTGGAAACCAATTTGTTTACCTGCTTTAACATTTGTATGTTTAGTAACTTGATGTTTCACCATTCACAGTTTGAAGGAATCGTATCGTGTAGTTTATTATTCAGAAGATTTTTCTCCGTTACTCGTACAACGTGGAATATATTTCAGGGAAAAGGACATCGACGAAGTACTGCAGACGCACACAATATTTACCAATGTGTCGAAGGGCCAGGTGGCGAAGAAGGAAGATCTCGTGAAGTCTTTCGAGACCGAGGATCAGACCGAGATCTGCAAGCAGATCCTGGCTAAAGGCGAGCTTCAGGTTTCCGATAAAGAGAGGCATCTGGCGCTGGAGTCCATGTTCAAGGACATTGCCACGACGGTCGCCAGCAAGTGTATAAATCCAGAGACCAAGCATCCGTATCCGGTCACCATGATCGAGAACGCCATGAGGGACGAGATACATTTTTCCGTCAAGCCTAATCGAAACGCCAAGCAGCAAGCGCTGGACGTTATCTCGCAGCTGAAAGCGGTGATGCCTCTGGAACGTGCCCAAATGAGGCTCAGGATTGTCATACCGAAGAAAGAGGCCCGAAAGTTGAAGGACAAAATCGTTAAATTCGCGACCAAGATGGAAACAGAGGAATGGGACAGTGGATCGTTAACGATAATCTGCTTAATCGACCCAGGCCAGTACAGAGGGCTAGACGAGTTGATACGATCGGAAACTAAGGGCACTGCTTTGATGGAACTGGTGAATTTGAACGAGGTGGCCGAAGGGGAAGAGCTCTTAACATAAATGGCGAATGGAGTCGCTGTTTCTAGAGATTGTTATTCACTGGAGAGTGAGATTCGTATTTATTAACTCTAATTAATATTTTAAGTATACGGTTGATAACTTTGTTACATCTTAATCGTAGCTAATAAAAGCAATTCGCATTTGTATTTACAAGCTTCATTTCAGTAAATTATCTACAGCGGTATCTTCACCACGACGCTGTTCCTATTGAGAACTGCAATATCCACTTTAAGATATCGCAATCGAGAATTGCACACACGCTCTCTCCGTTCAACTAATTTTACTCCGTTTAAAAATTGCAATTGTAGATATGTAACGGAATATCGTTTCGAAGAGTGTACATGTGCTGCTACTTGCCGAACAAGTAAATAAACGAACGTTCGATAACAATCAATGGCAATCAATCTGGAAGTTTGTTAGTTCTATATTTATATCTGAGACTGCTGCGTCATATGTACGTGTGTAAATATTTGTATGTTGTGTCAGTGCGCAAAAATGCCCTACAAAAGTTTGCGAATGAGTCCCTTCACTTCTCCTCGGTCACTTCCGCTCGCGGAATATAGATATTCTCCGTACGCTGGTCGCACTTGGCCGCAATACGCGATACCGTTAGAAGAAAGTCTGCCAGCCTATTTAAGTACGTTTGCGCTTCTTTATCTAGAGCACCGTCCCGTACTAATGTCGTGATACTCCTCTCAGCACGCCTGCATACAGTTCGCGCAACGTGCAGGGAAGCGCAAGCCTTTCCGCCGCCCTAGTTTCAGAACGTCGAGATAGGATTAGCGCCAACAAAACTAAAATATACGTATACACGCGCGCAAAAGTATCTAGATAATTACTGGAATGATGTAATCCTCGGGAGGAGGCAGCTGGTTCGCGTATTCGAGGATCCACTCCTCCAAGTCTTTGGTGTGTTTGCTCTCGAAGAACCTGGTCTTCCCAGGCACGGACTTTGATATTGCGTGGCTCAGGTCAAATAGGATCATTTGTACCCTCTTGAGTTTGTCAACGTACGGATGCTCGACCTTGCCGTCGCAGGCGAACTCCCTCGCCAGTCCTATGTAGGACGACAGCTCGTCTGTCGCGCCGAGGGCGTTGAAGATCATGTCGTCCTTCGGCTTCGTGTCCCCGGCGTCTGTGATCGTCAATCCGGAGTCGCCGTCGCGCGAGAACACCGCCACCTCGGCCACGTTGGACGTTGTGGCGCCGCTGTAACGATTGTCATCGTCAGTAAACCAGCAATTACTTCAATACAATATTTCTCCCGCGTAAGACACGGAGTATAGCGAATCTGTCAATTGTTGTCAATTACAACGTAATGTTACTCGCGTTGCGCTTTGAGGTTATGAAGGGCATATAAACACGTACTTGTGTCTCAAGGACATACACTGCACCCCGCTCTTGTATATGACAGCTGATTTTTTCCACAGGCCTCTGATTAATTCCATCTCGCGTCTTCGTACGCGGTTCACTCGGCCCAATTAACGCAGCTCACGTGCGAGCCCTTTAATCGTCGATCGCTAGCTAGTGACACCACAGTATAACCCCAGTATGGGCACTCGCTCTTTTGTTACAGTGGATGTGTTCGAAAATGGATTTAGTTACTGCCAGTGAAAACAGTATAGTTGGTAGCAATGAAAATTACTGGTGCTGCGTTTTTCGCACGCCAGTAAAGTCAGTAAGGCTGGGAAATTGACCAATCACAGTTCATTATTCGACTTACGACATCCAATGTAGACCCAGCCTTAAGCCCGCTGCAGACGATGCTATTTTCCCTGCTGGATTGCTTGCAATCTAATAAATTACTATCGTTGCACCATTCAGCACTCAGGATTCCTAGTAATTTACTAAATCGCAAGCAATCCAGCAGAAAAAATAGCATCGTCTGCAGCGGGCTTTACTGACTTTACTGGCGTGCGAAAAACGCAGCACCAGTAATTTTCATTGCTACCAACTATACTGTTTTCACTGGCAGTAACTAAATCCATTTTCGAACACATCCAGTATAA